AATCTTTCTTCCTTGCCCTCTGGAAAAATAAAGATAACAAGTAGATTATTTGATGCTGTAGTTATCAAATAAATGGCATGATGCCTTCTCATCTCGGTCAGACTAATGACGTCATACTTGATCTTCCGTATGTGCACCATTAGGTCCTTGATGGATGCTTCCGATGCCAGTGTGCGTGTGTTGAAAGTATAGTCATTTTAGTCCTTCTTTGTTTTGGCAGCCTAGTTGGGCTCTGAGATTTTATCAGCCTCTCCTTGCCCATCCTCCTTAACAATGCCATATTGGGGGCTCTTTCAGGGTCAGGGGAATGAGACCCATTGTATTTACTGTTTTGGGCATATCGAATACGCCATGGATAGCCTGCCAGGCTCTGCTGCACAGGTGGGATTGCATCAAAAATCAGATGGGCTGGACACGTAACATGATTTGGAGAGGACCGCTGGACTAGAGCCATTACCTACTGGACTCCACGAGACATCAAAAGATCACGTGGCTGCCCACCTACGAGATGGTCAGACTTCTTCATCAAGACCCTGAATGAATGGTTTAAGACGCTTTGTGTTCCTGGAGCAAGCAGATGCTATTGGGCTACACTAGCATGCGACCAGGACAAATGAAGATGTTACTGGCTCCCACTTGAGCAAATCGATGAGTAACGGGATGTCAAGTCATCAAGTGATCAAGTAGCTATCAAATAGAGCTGGGTACCTATACTCCATAGTGATTATATTTACAAACACTGGCTGGTAGGCAGAGCAGGGTTGGACCCATAATATTACATAGGCTTTTGACATATAAACACTGAGATCCAGAGTTCTTCAGTTGCTTATACTGGAAGCTTCTATGCAACCTTGTATTTTTACTACTACTGAGCTGCATTATAAGTCTCAAGGATGTCTTGCATTTTAAAAACTACTACTATTGTTAGAAAAGTCTTACAGATGTCTTTGTTTGGTGCTGACACTCAGCAATTCAAGTTGCTAATCAACAAATCTTTTGTTCTTGGGATCTGATCAGATAGGAACCCCAGATCATTTTGATATGGTGAAATTGAAATTAAAGGTCTTCTAAATGTTTAATCAAATCACAATTATTCCTGGACTAAATAAAAACAGCTATATTATCGTGTCTATTTTCCAAGATTTTGTAAGAACTCACATCCTGAAATGTGACAGCTCAGTGGCATTTATATTAGTGGATTCACTATGACTCTCTGGTGGGCCTCAATTATGAAAGCTCCAAAAATTGCAGTTGTTGACACAGTCACATGCCCAGTCATTAATTAATAAGTAGCTACTTGGAAGTAGATACTCTGATAGGTCCTGGGAAGAAAATTGAGGATATATCATTACAATTTCTACTTTCCATAATAAAGTTGACCGTCAGGCAGAGGAGAAATGAAAAAACAAAAAGCATACTTATAGAACATCACTATCAAGAACTGGCTGCTAGTTCCAATTGTTGGGGGGGATATTCTAAACAATAATGGTGCATCTTTTGTCAAAATAATGAATGTATTCGAAGTAGAGAGTTAAGTAGAAATCATCTGCCTCACAAGCAATGAGAGGGGTGGGAGGGGGGTCTATTGGGGTTCTTGGTCATGAAAAATAAGTACTGGTGAAGGGAAAGGCATTTGATCATTGTATGACTGAGACTTAATCTTGAAAGCTTTGTAACTTTTCCCACAGTGATTCAATAAATAAAAATAAAGAAATAAAATTAAAAGAACTGGCTGCTACAAAGAATAGCCTATCTCTTCATGGAGTTAAGGATGGGCAATTAGAATCAAGTGGGGCACAGAAGTGGGATTAAGCCATTGGGCTACAAGCATCTGACTGTAGAGGACTGCAAATGCCTTACTCTAAGCCTTCCGACTCTCTGCCTTTTTCCTCTTGCCATCCTCACAGTTTTCAGGGTTAGGAAGTCAGCTTACGTGATAGAGCACATGCAGATGCATTATTTGATCGATGCCGTTGTATACTCATAAGCAGCACCAGTTGTAGTCCTGGTGGCTCCAAACACTGCCAGGCCCAAGCAGCTCAATACTTGGTATCCCGGGTTGTATGCAGCTGGGAATAGCTTTCAAATACCCAGAGCACCACAAGGTTTAGCCCCTATATATTTTTTTAAATTGAATCACCATGAGATACATAGTTACAACGTTGTTCCAGATTGGTGTTTAGTCAGACAATGTTCCGGTATCCTTCCCTTCAGCTGTGTACATTTCCCACCACTAATGTCCCCATTTCCCGCCTACCACTCTACCCCTAGTCTGTCTTTGTGGCAGGCACTTTTCTTCTTTCTTCTTTCCTTCTTGCTTGCTTGCTTTCTCTGCTTTCTTTCTGTCTCTCTCTTTTCTTTGGGGCATTATGGTTTGCAATATACGTTCTGAAAGGTTATTATGTTTTTATCCCCAAGGCCTGGAGCGATAGCACAGCGGTAGGGCATTTGCCTTGCACGCAGCCAACATGGCCAACCCGAGTTCGATTCCTCCGCCCCTCTCGGAGAGCCCGGCAAGCTACCGAGAGTATCTCGCCCGCACGGAAGAGCCTGGCAAGCTCCCCGTGACGTATTCGATATGCCAAACACAGTAACAACAAAGTCTCCAATGGAGACGTTACTGGGCCCGCTCGAGCAAATCGATGATCAACGGGAGGGCCTTTACTTTACTTTACTTTTACTTTTATCCCTAAGGCCCCTATTTTTTTTATAATGTATTTATTTATTTATTTTAGCTGTTTGGGTCACACCCGGTGATACACAGGGGTTACTCCTGGCTCATGAACTCAGGAATTAGTCCTGACAGTGCTCGGGGGACCATATGGGATGCTGAGAATCAAACCCAGGTCAGCCACCTGCAAGGCAAATGTTCTACCCACTATGCTATCGTTCCAGCCCTGGCCCCTATTTTTTAAAAGGCTATCTTCTACTTATTTATTTATTTTCTCCTTCCTTTATAATAATCTCATAACTACATGCTTCACCAACTCTCGCCACTTATCACCCTGACTGGTATTTCCCCATGCTAAACCATCAAAAACCTGTAGAAATGACTCTACTTAATCTAGAGGCAATTTCCAGTATCCAATATTCACAGAACATACTAGTCAAATTTTAAAGGGCAGTATTAGTACTGTACTTTCCAGTTTATGGTTGCTGTATTAGATAAAATAGGAGCACACAGGAATGAAATAATATTGTCCCTTGAGCCCACACAATTGTTTAAATCTAATTTTCCAAACAGCCCAATAAGACTCAAGAGTTAACATGATATGAATCACTCCACATGCTGTCCACTGAAATCTGTCAAGGCCAGTACAAAGGTCAAAATTAAAACAAGAACTTGGCAGGTTCATAAATCGAGTTTAAGAATCATGTTCTACTGATGGTTTTATGAGCTACTTGCACCACTTGAGGTAAAATAGAAAAATCACAACAATGTGAAAAGATACACTATCAGGGGAAAAAATGAGTTCATAGAGCAATTAAAACACCTCATCTTTCCTAATTTCATATAAAAGTAGCATCCATCCATGATAAACTAAGATGGGTTTTATCTGTGTTAGGAAAAGTACATTGTGTGGCCCAGGTATGCTCAGGTTTTTGTTGATAAACTTATAGGAAAACCTTTTGTGTTCTACTAAAACTCCACTGGATGGAATTAGACAATTTCTCATCCACATTGATGAGAACCCAGTAGGGTTATTATACCAGTTTGTTTCAGGTAGAGTTTTAGTTAAGTCAGCAATTATAAGACCTGGCCCTTATTCTTAAATCCACAAGGAGGTCATAACCTGGATACCAAGAGATTATCTCATTGATGCAACCACCCTAACCAAAATAGGCGGCACCTCTCTCTCTCTCTCTCTCTCTCTCTCTCTCTCTCTCTCTCTCTCTCTCTCTCTCCTGGTGCTAAAATGTAATTATGAATATAGTTTACAGTTTCAGAGAAGTCACACAATTCCAGGTAATCTGCACTCAGTATAGTTTTATAAATTGGAGTAAAGAAAATTAGAGGAACTTTGCATTGAATGTCCATGGGAAAGGAGAGACTGTCAAAAACATTTTTAAAAGGTTTTCAAAACATGATCAAACATTAACGTCAGGAGAGTGTATGGATAAAGTGGAATTTGAATAAAGAGGACTCAAATAAATTCTCGCTGTGGGAATTTTAAAATAGGCACTCTAAAATTAAAAGAAATGTCCTGTGTGTATTTTTCATGGATATTTAACTCCAGAGGTCAGAACAGGGCCAGAAATTTCAGTATTTTTAAAATAATTTTCTGAGTACCAATATTTCTTCTGCTCATTATCAAGAATTTTTCATCTACAAAAGTATTATATGAAGGCACAGTTGTTGAGTATATATAAAGACAAAATTTTGCTATTCACTTTGAAGTGTGAATTAACGTGCTATACTACAAAAGAAAATCAGTAAAAAAAATCTTTTCATAAAGATGAATATCATAGAACACTACTAATTCCAACCCATTATAAGCAGTAAATCTTGATATATTTACCTGTAAGATAACAATTATAAAATGTTGCAGATAACTTATTTAGAAGCAGACTTATAAAACAGCTAGAAACAAAAACATGCTTATACGATCCAAAAGCATGTCCTATCTGGTAATGTGTAAAAAAGGACTGCAAAAAAATCCCATAATTAGAATTCTAAGAAAACCTTTCAAAAGGTTTTTTAGATTATTTCTAATACCTGCTAGCCAAACTTATCAATAACCTTTCATGTTATCATTTATACCACATCACTGAGATATGCACTTGCCTAAACTTGATTCTGTAATTGCAGAAAAACTGGTGTGCTGACTATCAGATACCTAATAATATGAGCTTTCTATCCTTGTGCTTCTTGTATATACAACAAGTGAATATTTATATTGTTGCTTTTCTCTGACATAAGTGAATATGGTTCATACTATATTGAAAATCCATAAAACAAGACACCATCATGACAAAACTACCATCATGACAAAACTTACCAAGTACAATGACCACAGTCTTCAGAAGACTCATCATGGTATCCCGATTCCGCCGGGGGCCAGAGCTATGCCGAGACATTCTCATAGTCCTCTGACGAACATAGCCAAAGATATGAGCGTAGAGAACCACCATTACCACAAAGGTCACCAAGTTGAAAATGGCCCAGAACACTAAGTAAGAGTCACTGTAAAGGGGTGCCATGTTGGAACAGTTGTCAATATCGCAGATGCAGTTCCAGCCAACACTGGGAATAGCTCCCATCACAATGGCCATCGTCCAAATGACCACAATCACCACCACCACCCGCCGATTGCTCATGCGTGTGTGGAGTTGCATGCGGAAGACTGTAATGTGCCTCTCAATTGCAATAGCTAATAGGTTGGCCACAGATGCTGTCAGGCTGGTATCAATGAGGCCCTGACGGAGGAGCCACGTGCTGACGGTCAGTCTCCGAGTATTGGGTCCTGTGTTGAACATTAGGTAGAAGTAGGCCAACCCAGCAAAAAAGTCTGCAGCCGCCAGATTAGCCATTAAGTAATAAATAGGAAAATGGAAGCGGCGGTTGACGTATATTGCCACCATGACCAGGAGGTTGGCCAACATGATGAAGATGCAGACGGTGATTCCGAGTCCCATCACTAGCTTGCTGACTGTGTTCCACTCTGTGGCAAGATACTTTCCACTTCGGTTATAAAAGAAGGCAATGGATTCATTGTAGTAGCACTGTGGTTCATTCATGGCTGTGAACTAAAAGAGAAAAGAAGAATGACGAAAAATAAAAGGAGGGAAGATCCAAATTCAAATTTAAAGACATAGAGATGATATAATACTCCCATGAAAAACTTGGATCAAAACAACTCCAATACACATACATATACATACAAACACCCGAAGGCAAAGAACTTGAAAATCTGATTTAAATAATGTGCTATGATCATATTGAAACCCCAAAGATTCTCACTGTATTACTGTCCTCAAGATTAAAGACACTTGGAGTCAAATAAATGACAACGCCTTTCCTTGGTGGTTGCACACCATTGAAGTCTACTAGAAAAGCCACATGGCCCAGAAATCTTGCTTAAAATACATGATACAGATGGGAATTTTGCAGAACACTGCAATTGGAGTATCCACCAGAGTGGAACCTATTTTGACTGGCTATTTAGGGAATCTGTAAACAGAGTTGGTTTATTAAAGGGTGCTATGGCTCTATTACTCAGTATTTCTATTCTCACACAAGATGTTCGATCTGTGGAGTTTTGCAATGAAGTTCCCACAAGGGCCATCAGTGACATTTTCGAGAGGTCACTATGCATCAAAGGTTTTCTGCCCAAAGCCAACATTCGCTGTTCAGCATTCCTGTGGTCAGTACTGTCTACCCCCATGACTCGGAATCCCCAGAATAGCACTCATCAACCCATCGATGATGTTTGAGCACTTTTTTCTATTTTGTAAAACAAAATTATACAACCTAATGTAACCTTAAAGGACAGCTGACACTTTGAAACCCTGTACAATAAATTAAAAACTGACTAGATAAATTATACCTTATTTTTTTCCAAAATTTTATTTCATTAAAGCACCATGGATTACAAAGTTATTCATTTTTGACATACAATGTTCCATCACCAATCCTGACACTAGCATCAACTTCCATATACCAGGGTCCCCAGGTTTCCTCTCTTATCCAACTCAGTCCCAAGATTAAAGTTTGGGTCTCATGATTTCAGTGCTGTACAATAAATAAAATATATTTATTAGGTTTATATATAGTTAATAACATACATTAGATAAATTACAGTTTTGAAAATATGGAGTGATCTTTTATGATGTTTTCTTATTTTTTAGGATCACCAATTAGAATGTATTTCCTTGTTAATTATTTATAATCTTAGCACAGCGGCAGGGCGTTTGCCTTGCACGCAGCCAGCATGGCCGACCCGAGTTCGATTCCTCCGCCCCTCTCGGAGAGCCCGGCAAGCTACTGAGAGTATTCGATATGCCAGACACAGTAACAACAAAGTCTCCAATGGAGACGTTACTGGGCCCGCTCGAGCAAATCGATGATCAACGGGAGGGCCTTTACTTACTTACTTACTTTACTTAAGATCCAAAAAATGATTGAGGACACATAATAATATAATTAATGATAGATTTTAAAATTTCAGAGAAACTACAAGGAAGGAACAACTTGAAAATTACACATCTAATAGTATAAACCCATATTTCTATGGCCTTTATTGAAACTCCCAAAATTAAAAAATATTTCTTAAGAACAGTTTATATCTTACCTTTCTTATGTTATCTTTCACTGCATTTAATAATTTATTTAGCAACTACCTCCATTTTAACCATATTTTTAACATTCTATACCACCAAAGTACATGTTTTTCAAAAACTGAAAATCCTCAAATGATATGAAATATTAATAAATAAATAAAAACTAAGTCTTTACACTTGTGATACATAGAATCTCTCATCATTTAGATTTCAATGCTTTTAAGTCATGTTTCCATATTAGGTTCACCATATTGTAAAGTTATTTATCAATTTATATGTCTATTTCTGTTTCCTGTCAGTGCTCAGAACTTACTCCTGGGACAGTATGTGGTGCCAGAAATTGAACAAGGGTCAGCTGCGTGGAAGGCTAATGTCTGAACTATGTCTCTAGTCCTTACATCTCTACTTCTCAAAGAGATCATAGCCCAGAGAAAACCTTGTCTTACACATTTTGGTATCTTTATACTTTCTACAGAGGTTTATTCAGCAGCGATCTAAAACTTTCGTCTTACAGTGTTCTCTTCTACCTCAAACCTTGCCATTACTTCAAGTCACTCATCTAATTTTCTTGCTCTCCGTTTCTTGACCTCATCTCTAATGACCTATTACACTATAATTCAGCTGCCCATTCCTATGGTCACACCCTAGATTCTCTAACAGCTCAGAAATGCCTTCTTTAAAAATAATTATACATTCTAATTACTCACCACACTTCCCGACCTCCCAGTTTTCTCATTCAATCACTAATACATCCATTCTTTAAAGTCATTTATCCCCTTAAGAACTGTACTTTTCCCCCAGTTCATTTTTCATTTTTTTATCCAGTTTAGATTCCACAGAGTATCATTTCAACCCCTTTGCTGCTAACATAAGAACACACTCTCTTCTTGAAGATGGAAGACTGTGAGGTGAGATATTCTTTAGAATTCAAAATTTCTTTTGCTTTCAAGAAGATTGACATGAAACATAATTCATATATGATAATATATGGCATATAACAATAACCATGCACTTAATTTCTAAAGACGAATATATGAGCACATACTCATACGAATTTGGTAAATGCTATCACTAGCCTAATATCAATTCATTTGGTACAAATTTTGTCATTGTTATTTATTTGAAAAAAACTTCCATTTGTAGACTCTAGTGAATTATCTCAGATAAGGCAGCAGGGATCTTTATTTTCTAGCATATTTTCCCCTATATTTCCACAACAATTTTTTCTTTCTTGGATCATACCTAGTAGTAATCAGGGGATGCTCCCAGCTTGGGGCTCAGGGGTCACTCCTGGCCAGGGATCAAACACAAGTCTTCTTCATAGAAAGTACACACTCCTGTCCATCAAACTACCTCTCCAGTTACCACATTTTCTTAGAATAACACTGGGGAAGAGAGATAGTACAGGGGTTTGGTTTTGCTATGTGTGTGGCTGGCACCACATGTTGTGCTCCAAGAACAACCAGGAGTAAGCCACGAGCACCACTAGGTGTGGTCCCATCTCCCTGCTCTTCCAAAAATATAAACAAAACTAGTCTTAGATGAATGGAATTGGTTTCTACCTCCATACCAACACCTACATCCATACCTACAGTTAGGCAACAGAGAAAATGTTAGAAATGAAAAACCAACCTATCTGACAGAGACTGATTTGGGAATAAAGTCATGATATTAACCTCACCAGAAGAGAGCAGGGCAACAAGAACCCCATGCCCTCAAAATAGCATTTTTCCTGGAAAATGCTTCAGTGGCTTAACCGAGCACTATGAATAAAAAAAAAAAATCTGAGCTCATCAACTACCCTATCGGGGCTTACTGTCCTCTGTAGCCTCAACTCAAGCTATCGAGGATTTTAAAATGCAGTACTTCAGCTCTACTTACTGAGGTCTGTTCTCTCACCATCAAGGAGAAATGTGGCATCGAGATCAGAATCACACACAAGGTTTGTGAAGCAGATGCTAGACACATTCTGAGAATTTGTAATATGGCAGATCCAGTGACACTGCAGCTGCTAAATAGGAGTGACCCTTCAAATGCCAGTGACCTGACACAAGCCTACCCCAACTTTTACTTACTTGCATTCCCTGTGCGGCAATAAAATCGCCGGTAAAATTTAGTCGTTCTCCCTAACCTGTCCTTATCTGGGCATGGTTCTTCCTGGCACAGATTCTCTACTATCACAATACTGACTACACTGCATAATATTTGCTAAACTCCTTATAGGCTGTCAGTTCTATAAGAACAGATACTACCCAAGAATAGCTGAGATCAGCACCAGGATGATTACTCCATAACTTAGAGGCCAGCCGGGTATCCTAGAGGAAAGGGCAGCTCAGATAGAGAAGGGAGCACCAAATAAAGGATGTTTGGAGGATCCTCCCAGGAGGGGAGATGCATGTCGAAAGTAGACTATGGACTGAACATGTTTGCCACTCAATGCCTCTTTTGCAGACCACAACACCCAAACGGAGAGAGAGAACACAGGGGATTGCCCTGCCACAGTGGCAGTGGGGGATGGGGGGATGGGGGTGGGGGGATATTATCCATGGTGGTGGAAAATGGGCACTGGTGGAGGGATGGGTATCTGATCATTGTATAATCAAACCCAAGCACAAAAAATTGTAAATCTACAACTGTAAAAAAAAAAAAAGAAATATGTTTAGAACAGAATTACTGGAAATTAGAGACATTTCTTCCATATTGGCACTTTTTAAAAAATAAAAGCAGTCAGTGACTGTCTTTGCAAAATGTGAAAAAAAAAAGAATAGATACTTTAGCCTTCTTGTCCGTTGTTGTGTTGTTTTTGAATACTAGCGGTTAGATGTTAAAAATACTGTGGTTACTTTGGAATAAATGGAAGATAATTTTTAAGATGTTTATACATTTATAGTTTATACATTTTAGTTTATACATTTCTTTCTATAAGGATATACCAAAAAAAGGAGGAATATAAATGAAAAACTCTGTGCCTGTCCCTTTAATCTCGCCATTCTTATTTTGTTATTTCAGACCAGAAAATCTTTTAATCAAAAATGAGGTAGACATACTCTGAATAGAAACTGTCAATAAAATTAAACACTGGTATATTCATTTCTTGTATTCCCTCACATGGAAAAAATTAAACCTTAAAAAAATCAAGCAGGGGCCAGAGTGATAGTCCATTGGGTGGAGTATTTGCCTTGCATTCGGTCAACCTGGGTTCAATCCCTGGCACTCCATATGGTCTCCTGAGCCCACTGGTAGTGACCCCTGAGCACAGAACTAGTAGGAAACCCTGAGAACTGCCATGTGTGACACAGAAACAAACAAAAAGAAGTCAAGGCAAAGGTGTACAAATTACGTTTTAAAGGCACAACATGCTAATATTTTTCTTAACTGACAGGTTATTTTTCTATGGTATCTAAGCACTAAAGCAAAAACTGGCATATAATTCAGGCCTAGAACTATTTTTTTCTCTCAGAAATTGA